AACTCCCAGAATTCCCCAGCCAGCGAATGCTGGCTGGGGAATTCTGGGAGTTGAAGTCCAGACATCTTCAGATTGCCAAGGTTGGGAAACACTGCACTAAGAAACAAGACAATACAAAATGTTGCAGTTGTTAGACGTTACACTTATGAGTTGTTTGTTCTCTATGGATATGCAAATATTTAAAAATCCTGTTGGTTAAACTGCCTACATTATTAGGTCAAATTTTGGGTTACCATTTTTCCTACAGGTTAGAAAAATGAAGAATGTTTCATAAAAGTTTATATTTACAAGTGTCAAAATATACAAGAATATATTTCTTGTAACTTGTTTCCAATAAAGATGGCCCAATGATTTTTCAAAACGAAAATGTAAATTGTCCTAACTCTATTTATTTTAAACATCAGTTCTACCAATGCTCAAGCCCCCCATGGTACAAAGTCCAATTAATTTCTTGTGGCAATTTTTTACACCCTTTGTGTTCACATCCCCAATTATTCACAAAAGTCACAGGTTGATCCGAAGTTACCTGCTCTTAAAACTATTCTTTGTGGGACATGTGTTATTGGAAGGAGGGGCTGAGAGGGGAGAGAGAAGAGAGAATTTTATAAACCACCTTGAATTCCAGAGTTGGAAATGGCCTCCAGGGAGGCTTGGGAAAGCTGCTGACTACAGCACATTCAAGAGAGAGCTGGGTAGATCCATATAGGAAGGCAGATACCTCTTTAGTTGTCAGGTGAAACATATCTTGCACAGTTTACCATTCAGGCAAGGCAGCTGAGCTGAGAGGGTGACCATAGGCTTCCAGAAGTCACAGGTGTAAACAGTGGGTTTCTGGCACATCCAGAAACCACTGCTATACATATCCCCCTCATTCTCTCAACCTGAGGGTGAGGGACCGGAGGGGGAGTAGACGGGGTCCAGAATCCTGCAGAGCACTGCCAATTTGTATTCCCACAGTGGAATGGAGGTGTGGGAAGTGGTAGCGGGACAACCAACCACCTATATTTTATGACTCCCGAAAATACCGTGACCAAATCATTCCAGATCACCTTTTTCACTCTTTCTCTTTGCTTCTGTTTTCTGCTGCAGTGAAATTCCAGTGTCCTCCCAACAGACCCTTCCGTTGCAAGAACGACCGTGTGTGTCTGTGGATTGGCCGCCAGTGTGATGGGATTGACAACTGTGGTGATGGCACCGATGAGCAGTTCTGTGGTGAGTGGTTTCTGCTGTCTCCTCTAAGATTTGCAGAAACTGATTTGTGTAACTGACAGGCAGAAGCCAACAACCATAAAGTTAATGACCACCACACAGACAAAAAAATGATAGTAAAATCAAGTCAGTGACATGGGTTGCCCATTTTAAAACCATCACAACTTACAACCATAATGAGCAGGTCCCATTATAGTCAAAAGTCTACATGTGGTTTGCCATTATCCCGTTCTGGAATATTACCAGCTACAGCCCTGGCAATGGCAATGGCTTGCCATTATTACCTCATACTGAGATATTACCAGCTATAGCCCGAGTCCTTCCAGATGGTCTATCATCCAAGGCTGATCTGCTTAGCTTTTGTGCAATCAATCAAATTTGGGTAGGTTCCTCTAGAATGGTCTTTGTTTTAAAGAGTTCCCCCTGTGTTTCTGCACGATTCCGAAGCTTCCTGAGGGGGGAAAAAGAGACAAGATTGGACCATTGATTTGTGTGGAGATATAACAGACAGTATTCACGGTGGATGAATTTACTTGCCTTGCCACCCAAGGTGATAGAAAAATCCAGTCACCTCTGTGGAGACGCAGACTTAGGTTCATGATTCTTCGGAAAGGAAGACAAGAGAGTGAAAGAGATTGAATTGGGGGCCTCGTGAGGCATTCCTTTGGCTTCTCACTGCCATCATTTTAACTTCACAGATTCACCAACCACCAGGCCTAGGAGCTGCAGCCACGAGAAGAATGAGTTCCTGTGCACCAATGGGAAATGTATCAGTGCTGAGCATCGCTGCAACTTTTTTGATGACTGTGGAGATGGGTCCGATGAAGACAATTGCTTGCAGGGTGAGGGGATAGACCACCGAATGTGGATAATCTTGGATAGCAGAGGAGATGTTCCTTTTTTTTTTTGCTTCAGGTGTGGGGGATGGCTTGGGTCACAGAAGGAGAATTGTCAGTGGGGTATGATGAAACTCCAAATGGTTTGACCAGTCACATGCTCTCTTGTTGGTGCTGCTTGATGTAAAATTGGTTTGTTCCCATTTTGTGCTTGCAGATCCCAAGACGTATGGCTGTCATACCAATGTAACCATGTGTGGCGATGAAGCCAAATGTATCCAGAGCTCCTCATCTGTTTACTGCACCTGCCGCAGTGGCTTTCAGAAAGTGCCAGGCAAGAATTTCTGCCAAGGTAGGAGGCCAATTGTGTCCATTGGATAGTTATTTTTAAAAAGGTATTTTTACGCATCTCCCTTCTCCTGTTTTTTTTTTTTAAGTCTCCAACAAAGCTTGGTCCATTTCAAACAAAAATATAGGAAACCAGCCTTGGGTTATAGTCATTTGTTAAAAACAAAATCTAAAATGTGTTGGTTGTCCAGCTGAAACAACCTCAATGTTTTGATAAATCTATGTCACCCTCTATCAACATGAAAGGAGACCTTTTGTAATCCATGAGGGAAAGGAACCACTTGAGTGCTACCTGTTCTGGGTTTTTGAAATCAATCAAGTTTGGAATCAATGAAGAAAGGTCTTCATTTCAAGGATGAAGTGGAAGTAGAAGAAGATTTGAAGTCACTTAGGAAGGAGAAACAACTTCCTTCTCAAAGTCTTCAAACTGGTGCTGGTGGTCCTTTTGCACAGTTAATTCTGATTTCAGGTTGCTTGTTTTTCCATGCTGTGCATGTGTGTGTGTGTGTGAGAGAGAGAGAGAGAGGGAGAGAGAGAGAGAGAGAGAGAGAGAGGATCCCACCACTGGACCTGGGGTGTCAAACTGGCGGCCCAAGGGCCGGATGCGTCATGCCCAGGCCACACCCACCCCATCTCCATGAAGGGGGAAAACGTAAAATGTCACCTGACCGCAACGTGACGTCCTGAGTTTGACACCCGTGCACTAGACTGATAAGCATCCTCATCAACCAAGTTGATGGTACTCAGTGCTTGCCAGATGTGCTGCAACTTTAATTTGAGCTTTGCGCTAAAACTACATTATTCATCCCCCTCTCCCCTTCCTGACAAATGACAGGAACTGCAGGGAAATCAATTTTTTTGCAATCTACTCCTTTGAGCTAAATTAACACCTGATTGGCAGTGAGATGGAGCACAGGGGAGGAACAAAGACATTTGGGGATTCTAAATTTCTCCAGCTTCTGCTTTTTTTAGCAATAATGGGTGATAAATCAAAACAGGGTAACTATAGAAAGTCTTGTCTTTTTAACTGGCACACTTCCTTTTTTGTTTGGTGGTGCTTGTACAGAATGGTATTGGATGCTTGCATCTTGTTTGCAAGCACACAGTCCATCTATAGATAAGGGGAGAGAAAGAAGTCATAAGAAGGAAAGAGTATTTTTCTAGGAACAATCCAAGGCTAGAAGCTAGCCAGCTATACATTCCTAGTCATTCTTAAAGTGAGATTTTCATTCTGACATTATGATTATTATGTGTGCATGAATGTACATTTATATTATGCATGCATGAATGTATATTTTGGGAGAGGGATTTTACTAGTTCCTTGGCAGAAAATATGCCAGAATGGCTCTTGACTTCATGATTTCAGTGAGTTTTGTACCCAGATCCCAAATCTCTTTCATGAGTATTTTACACTCATCTTCCCAAGTTTTCATTGTGCACACAAAGCCCAAGTTTGTGCCCTTTGATTTTTATACACACACATACAGTAGGTAGCCATCACATTCACATTTGGAATAAGCAGCATTATTCATAGGAACATCCCTCCAGTCTAATAAGTTATATGATGGCATTAGATTCACATCATCCATTACTGTTAAAATAATAAAAATAAAAAGTAGCAAGGGGAACCCCGAAGGAATTATTACTTTCTACCCATGAACTCTCTGTTCATTGGTCTGTATGAGCTAGAAATAATTTTGATCGAATCAAGTCCTAATGTACCCTGCAGAGTACCCACTTTTAGAATATGGAATAACGGTGCTGGAAGGGACATTGGGGGGGGGGGGAGTCTTCTATTTATTGTTTTGTTACTCCTGAGTCTTAAGGCAGAAAAAAAAGTGTGATTTACTCCACCCCCTCAGTCATTTGCATCCATTGATTTTGCTTTCACATCTTCCTTGTTCTATGCAGACATCAACGAATGCCTGAACTTCAGGGTTTGCAGTCATCTCTGCAACAACACCAAGGGCTCCTATATGTGCACTTGTGCCAAGAACTTCCAGAAGACCCATAATATGTGCAAGGCTGAAGGTACCAGAAACAGTGTTAGGCTGGGAGCTTTATTTAATAGGCAGCGCAGCGTCCCTGGGTGTATCAGGGAGATCAGCTGATGGTGGGGCTTAATGAGATTTGAACAGATCGGTTATAGGATTACTTCATTCGCCTATCCATTTCAGCATGTTTTTCTAAACGTTAAAAAACAACCAACCCAGAAATATTTGTCAGGATTGACATAGTGAAACTGATTGTGCTTTTTAAAAAGGAAGATGTCAAAGGATCTTTTCCAGTTTAATGTAACCTTTTAAAAGCCAGCATCCTTAGAGAAGTGCAAGATTCTTTTCACAGAGGCTTCTGCCATTTTTTAGTGGTTCCTGAAATCACTGCAAAGCTCAGTTGTGTCATGCAGTAGAAAACACCCTAAGTAGAAGCCTTTTGTGTGGAAAGAGCATGGTGCTGCTGTAATCACTGTGGCTCTTGTAAAAATTAGAGTAGGATCAAAGAGAAAATCCTTGGCCAGAACATTTCAAAACCTTTCTTCTCAGCTTGATAACTCTTCCCTCTGAGGTATGTTGGTCCTGGTATTCTAGAAGTTGCTTCCCTGAATTTCTTTCTGGAAGAACATAAGCTAGCTGGACTTGGTTTCCATTAACGTTTGTCTTACGGGGAACAAAACAGACAGATTTGCTTCTTGCAGGATCAATGGCAGAATACTATTTAATCCTCATTTTCAATTGGCATGTATGATAATGCATTGAGTGCCATGACACATACTTTGGAGCATTACCATTCAAGAGCAGAGAATTCTGGCCTTCGCAGCCAAATTCTCTTTAGCTGCTTCTAAGAGGGGAGAAAAAAACAAATTACAGTCTGCCTTATACCTGATCAGAGCAAAATGAGAGATAAAGCTGAAGAAGAGCTGAGGATGAAGCTAAAGTGAGGTGACTATGACATGAAAACACTTGGCTGATTACAGAACATTTTCTCATTATGGGGCCTAGTGAGTCAGATTTTCTACCAGCCCCTTGGCAGTCCTGAAGAAACTGTGTACGTTTGCTCTCTGTGATGGAACAAAGAGCCTATGTAACTCCCTGCTGTGCTTTGGGGGCCTAGAATTGCCAAGGAATTTCATCTTTTTCATATCGGATGCATTATAAGGCACATACGTATTTTCACACTTTTGCTGTAGATCAGCGTCGAAGAGATACACATGAGCAAATATTTATGGAAAGGCTATAAAAATATGCTTTCTTCGATGGCAAGGAGAACTACCGGGTTCATAACAATCAGTGTAACAGTTCTATTCCCTTTTTTCAGGCTCTGAGTATCAGATACTTTACATTGCTGATGACAACAAGATCCGCAGCATGTATCCCTTCAACCCGAACTCGGCCTACGAACCTGCCTTCCAAGGCGATGAGACTGTCCGTATTGCTGCCATGGATGTGTACGTGAAGGGTAACAAGATATACTGGACTAACTGGCACACGGGACGCATATCCTGCCGGGATCTCCCCTCCTCAGCCGGTTCTAGTGCCTCCAATCGTAACCGGCGGCAGATTGATGGCGGGGTCACCCATCTAAATGTAAGTGGCAGAAATTCAATGACTGAGGAGCCGCCAGCGCTGGGATTTCGAAAAGGCCTCGAAGTTCATTTTGCTTCCTGCTTTCCCTTTCAGATCTCAGGGTTGAAGATGCCACGGGGTATTGCCGTGGATTGGGTGGCCGGGAACATTTATTGGACGGACTCGGGGCGTGACGTCATTGAAGTAGCACAGATGAAGGGGGAGAATCGCAAGACACTGATCTCGGGCATGATTGACGAGCCACATGCAATCGTCGTGGACCCGCTTCGAGGGTAAGAGAGGCCCCCAGTACTCCTTCCAACTTGCCCTGTCCCTGTAGAATGATCTCACAGAAGGCCTTTCTCTTTATAGCGTCATGTACTGGTCAGACTGGGGGAACCACCCTAAAATTGAAACCGCTGCCATGGATGGGACCTTAAGAGAGACGCTTGTCCAGGACAATATCCAGTGGCCTACTGGTGAGTTAAGCGAATAATCTGTGCTTTAGGAGCCCAGTTTCCTAATCAAAGCTGGGGACGGCGGGAATGTATGCTTGGCTTTCAGGACTTTTGAAAAGTTTAAGTATTGTAATCGACATGTGTGGTTTACTTGCAGGTCTGGCTGTTGATTACCACAATGAGCGTCTGTACTGGGCAGACGCCAAGCTGTCGGTCATTGGCAGCATCAGGCTCAATGGCACTGACCCAGTGGTGGCCATCGACAGCAAGAAAGGTAAAAGGGGAAAAAATCGAATCATTGCATGTCTGTGCTTTTGTTTGAATACCTATGCATACCTGTGTGCGTATATGTGAAACAGAGGAGAAGATATATTTCTGGTGCCACCCTTATCCCAGAGCTATAATTGCACTCAAAAATGAACTAAAGGACCACCATCAGTAAGCTATTGGACAACACTACTTGGTCTGTTGTGTGGATGCTTGGGTGGCTTAGGGGTGGGGAATTTTTTGGGTGGGTGGGGGTGGGTTTGGGGATTGTTATGTGTGTTGGGCCTGGTCTCTGGGGGTTATGTGAATTTCGTTGTATGTGTATAATGTCTATATACGTACAATGACAATAAAGTAAAGTAAGTAATAAGACCTTCTTTTCTCTCCTAAGCAATGTATCTATTATCTCTTTTTTTTTTGTTAACAATGATAATGCAATCATTGTTTTTAAATCAATGTATCAATTATCTCTTTTTAAGTTAACAATGATAATGCAACTATTATTTTTAAATCAAATGGGCACGATAAAGCAACTAAAGCAATCCAAACCAGCAACGCTATATCCCTCTCACTTTTTTTTAGAGAAGTATTTTTGTTCCAGAAATACAATTGGAATGATAGAACATTGCCTCCTGCTTGCAGTCTTAGACGTTGTCATCAGTTGAATGTGCTCTTTTAGAGAATCGTAAGAGTATTTTTCACTGCAATTAATACAGAATAGGCCATTTCTTTTCCTCTTCGTGGTGGAAATCAATAGATTGTCGTTCTTTCCCTGTCTTTGTTTTAGGGACAAATATTTAGCTCATCTGGCCAAATTCAAATATTGTCTCCCCAATACTACAACATATAGAATTGCCCAAACAATCTCTTACTCTTTTTTCATGCCTTTTTTTCCTCTAGGACTCAGCCACCCCTTCAGCATTGACATTTTTGAAGACTACATTTATGGTGTCACTTACATCAACAATCGCATCTTCAAGATCCACAAGTTTGGCCACGGCACTGTCACCAATCTTACCGCTGGACTAAATCATGCCACCGATGTGGTACTCTATCACCAGTATAAACAGCCAGATGGTCAGTTTCACTTTATGGAGCTTTTGGTATTATATCATGGGGAATCAAGTGCAGGACCTGTGACCAAAACAAAAAACAAAACCCTATTCTGACTTTCTCAGTTTTAATGTGCTACATAGGGAAGGCGACAGATTGGGGGAAACTGGAACGTTAGTGAGAGTAGGTTAGTTAGAACTAGGTTCATTTTTAAGAACAAAGCTGACATAATGTTGTGGCCTGCCAGCGGCCAGTAGGGCTGGCAATAGATTCAGACAATGAGGAGGTTGGGGAGGAACATGGGCCAGTCCTGGAGTCTGCGGAAGGCTCTGATGATGGCTCTATGTTGGAGGCAGAGAGGAGGCCAGAGCCGTATGCCAGTTATCAGCTGCTTTCAGTCAGACATCAGTGAGGCAGACGAACAGCTGGAGCCTGTTCCCAGTATGTGGCATGCACAGAGTTGCCAGAAAAAGAGAACAGCTAAAGAACAGAGGTCGATTTGGGAGTAAGGCCACAGGTGGATGATGAATGGCCCCTCCCAGAGGAAATAAAAGAGGAGCGAAAAGGGAGTGGAGTTTGCAGGAGACAATTAGCTCACTTAATTGGTTTGTGACTGTTGGAGACTCCTTGCCAAGTTTTGCAGATATAGGCCTGGCAGCTCTCCAAGCCAGATAAGGTCTGTGACTGAAAATACTCCCTTGAAAGACTTTGCTGGATGTGAATGAGTGGAATTCACAGTAAATTAATGAAGCGTTTTTTTGTTGGGACAAGGAGTTTTATGCTCTTGGGAAGCCTCGGCCAGAACACATACGGGTTAAATTCAGTTTTGAGAAAGGCATAAAAAACCCCAGTGAGGTATTTAAGATATTTCATCAGGAATGGCTAGGGAGAAAGAAAAAAGAAAATAGTACCAACCATGCGTAAGGCTATATGTTGGGGGAGGGGGGTTGCCATTATTTCATAATTTGACCATCTGCAAAGTAGATGCCAAGGCCATGATAACTAAGCTTGGATTTGGTAGATGTATGGACAGAGGTGATTATTGTCATAGATTTACCTCTAGAGGTCCCTGTAGCATAGAAAAAAAGGCGACGAGAGGCAAGAAACTGTAGCAAAACGTGGAGATTTTTGCCTGTATATTGGAGGCTCAAACTATAGTTTG